CTGTTTTCTCCTAGTCATTCCTTAGCGGGAAAGAGCGTTGGCACTTGGCCCCCGTGAGGATCTGAGGTGCTAGGCTTGATTGAGGAGGTGTATACCTCCTACTTACTACTTCTCCTAGTATGTACTTAGTAGCCACTAGCTAGCTAACTAACCCTAGAGAAGTTGAGAACAGACTACAGAGTAGGCAGGTGACTGGGTGGAGCTTTCACCGGGGAGAAGAAGTCATCGTGCGATGAAATTGGTCTGTTCGTTTGAATTCCAGGGGTTAGTTACCTCAGTGGTCATTGCGCTCGGCTTTAGTACGGAGGAAACTGAAGGTAGACTGCTCGCTGCCCGGGGGTCTAGAAGCTACGGATTGGGAATATGGTCTGTATAGCTAATTAGGTTTGGCAATCATTATTATCTGGGACTAGGAGCCGGCAGGTAGAGACAGCTCATATTGCCGATGGGAGACTTTGTATCTGCTGCTTGGAACTGGGTATGTAGTTATGCAATGGGTCTTTCGGTGAGTCATAGCCTTTCTCCTACCTTGCTTACTTACCTGTTCTACGCTCTTCTTCGTCTTCGTAGAATGCGCTAAATCTCATGAGACAATTATCTCGAGTGTAAGATGCCTACCAACTAGTTACAGTATTACAGAGCAAGATTACACAAAAACACAGTATAAACAAGAAATCAAATAGGTATGTGGCATTAAGTCAATCCAGTCGAGGTAAGATCAATCTGCCTCCATGTACAGAAAGCAACATGACATGCATACATAGATAGAAGATACATACAACCAAATCGAGTTTGCAATCTGGGAAGAAAGCAAAAAGAAAGGGCGGGGAGAGGAAGAAAGAAAAAAGAGGGAAGGAAGCCTCATGGATATGCGTTTCATTTCGTTTCATGCCATTGCGTTCGTGGTTTATATCGCTCATCATCAAAAGGGTCGTTAACTGGAACAATGTAAAGTGAAAGAAAGAAAGATAGGGGGGGAAACATAGAAAGGAAGATCAAAAACTCAAGTATGAAGAGTGAGAAACTTGCGGGAAATCTGCCTATCGAGTCCTCCTGTGCCATGGCATGGCAAATGAACATTTTGAAAGGGATGAAAACAAAAATCGGGATAAAAGATGGGGTAGGCGCATGTAGGTTTGTTTGGTTTGTTTTATCGGAGTTGAGAAATCATCATAAGAGATCGGTTTGATCTTCTGGTGAAGAGAGAGGGCATATGATATGCCAAATGAGATACTTTTGGCTCTTTTCTTGTTCTTGTTTTTGTGTTTCTTGGTTTTCTCGGATCTTTCGGGTCAGTTTCTTCTTCGTCATCTTTACTTCCGTCGAGAACCACGATCTCGTCGACTATCGTGCAACTCCTCGGCGTCTTCATCCTCCTCTTCAACGGGAGCAGGCGTTCGTCGCTCAGTCCGTCGCTTTGGTCGACGTCGACGATTCGAGCTGATATTGCTGGCTGAATCATCAGGCGCCAGGGATCGGTCGTCGTCCAGGAAATCGTCATCACCGCTTTCCCATCCGTTGCCTAGAGCCGATGAAGGCGTTCCCATGCGGGCTTCGACTAATGAGCCGCGTCGGTTCTGGTTGGCAACGGACAGGCCGGCTCCGCGTTCCCGGAGGCCTCGACGGACCACCTCGGCCTTGAGGTGCAGTGCTTCGAAAGCGTCTTCGAGCGCTTCCATTCCGAGATAGATATCCCGTTCTATTTCGGCCAATGCTGCAATCTCCATCTCTTCGTCCAAGGCGATGGGTCCTCCGAAAGCGGCAGGCGAGTTGCGGCCATAGGGTTGACTGGCCGGCCGGAGGCCGCCATCCATGACACTAGGTGTTGGGCCTCGAGAAATGCCACCTGTGGTGAAAGGGGTGTTGGACCGACTAGTGCTGTTCCAGCGAGAGGAAGTCCCGTTTTGCGCGGCAAAGAGAGCGTCTTCCGCACCACTCCGTAGGAAACCATCAAAACGACCCGAAATCAAAATGTCCCACTCATCGTCACTGATACCTGCAAGCGTCGCCAACACATGATGCATTTCTGGGTTATTCAGCATATAAATTGCTGTTTCAGGGTCGCGAGGAAGCGACGGCAGTCGATACAGTCGTTGGATAGCTAGTGACGATGACCGGAGTGCAGGAGGACGTGGACGAGATTGGCCATCGGGTTGAGGAGTGGGCGAGGCCGAATTGATTCCCAGTAACGCACAAAAGAGGGCACGGTCTTCGGATCCGATGTGCGTCAACATGGCAAAGGTGAGAGTCTCGTCGTCGACCTCCTCGGGAGCACTTGTGCCCTGTCCGTCTTGTTCGTTCAGCCATTTATCCACCGCAGTCTTCGTCTTGCGGGACTGGCGCATGTAGTGGTCACGATACTCTTCAGGCACATCAATATCCATCTTCTGCATGGGAATATGTTCATCGCCGGACAACTCTGCGTTACCGGCCGGCGCCGACAGCGCGAAAGGTGGCCAGCTAGGTAATTCTCGGCGACCGGAAACAAGCTCGAGAACTTCACCCCAACTCACTCCGGGTTGGCGCTCCTCCAGATCCTCATGGTCACACATCAAGCAGTGGCATGACTCGGACGAAATATCTCGAGCAAAGACGGCCTCTAACCGGTCCAATAGACGACGCGCCACTGACCGATATCCTGAGGCAACGGCGAGCGAGCCATTTTTCATCATGACCTTGTGGTAGTCCTCAAGCAGTCGGTTGAAGGGGTCAAAAATCTTCATTGCTGCAACTTGGGGTTGGAAAGGCTGCTGAGAAGACCCTTCCGCGTGGTCGGCCCCTAGTAGTAACGCCTTGGGCACCCGGTGGTCCAAACCACCGTTTTGGAGCAGATAGTCCACCCGAGGGATCGTGACCGGCATTTCTGGCGGGGGCGGGGGTGGGGGAGGCGCCCCAAAGGCCGAGTTAGTTGTGGGAGGTCGTCCATATTCGAATGCAGCGTCGGCAGGGATTCGACTGCTGCTCTGACGGTGAGACGCCGACGATCGAGTCTGGGTCCGAGACGGCGGTTTCTCGGGGCTCTTGGATTTCCGAGAACTCGTTGACTTCCTATGCGCCGCAATGGTGGCATCGGAGCCATTCGCCGATTCCAAGCCAACATCACGCACCGTTGCTGGGGATCGGGAAGGAGAAAGTGTCGTACGACTGCTGGGCCGTTTTGGCGGCGTGACCTCCTCAACTATTTTCGATTTGGACGAGTTCCGGCTAGAGGTCCGGTAAAGCGTGTCCTTGTCGTGACTCGAGCGCTTCGTCTCCGGACGCACGGTCTTATTTGACTTGGAACTCTCATCCTTCTTCGCGCGCAGACTTGATGACGACTTCGTCGACTCGGCTCGAATTCGAATCTTGGTCTTCTCCCTAGGTTTTTCCCCGGATCCCTTTTCGTCTTTATCGCCGACCGTGCTGTCTTTGCGTGAGTGCTGGTCTAAACTCGTCAACGGCGGGCTTGGCGGGGCATTCTGGTCGTCCGACCGACGATGATGGTTGCCTTCCGCCTTATCCTTGTTCTCCTCGGTCAAATCGGTGGGGTCGGGGGTAGGGATGCCCGGGTTCGCAACAGCCTCCTTACTGTGAGCCTTGGAAAAGGTCGGGTACGGCAGGCTAGTCCTCGACTCGAGGAAGGAAGCCGTTTCGGGGCGGCTGGCGCTATCGACGCCCGGCATGGAGGACCGTCGTTTCTTGCGGGAGCTGGGAACGGAGGTAGAAGGGGTCGAGGAGCGGGCCGTCGGGGCGTCAGGGTCGTGTTCCTTGGTTGAGAGGCGGCTGGACCGACCGTGGGACGGGCGTTGTTGACGGTGTTTGCTTTTGGAAGAAATAGACGAAGAGGATGGCTTTCTTTCGCGGTCCCTGTCGCGATCTCGGTCATTAGGTCTGACAGGTAAAAACATGACGTATGGAAAATGTGGGCTTTGAATGGCGCGGACGATGGAAAGTCGGGAAGACGACAGAAGTCCTGTCGTCCCTTATGTGAAGCCCCTTCTTTCCCTCAGTCCCCGCGTCGTTTGCAGTGTCCGGCTAGTTACCTCGTAAAAGAAAATAGAGAGAGAAGAACGAATACAATTCAATTCAGTTCCAGAAGAAAAAGGCAGCGACGCCGACACTTCGTAAAAACAGAGCGGCAGAAGTGAATCCTTCAAATGATCCGAGCCCCGATCAAGTCAGTTGAGCAGTGATCAGTCGGTTGCCTTCTCGTCTGGCGCTTAGCGAGCGTCGAATACTGTCGCTCTCACTGGTCGAGAGTCGGACAAGGCGCTTGTGTCAATCCACCAAAAGTGCTGAACGACATGCGACATCCCGTCGCACGTAGGGAACACCAGAGTGAAACAACCGAAAAATAATCGAGCGATTATTTACAAGGGAACAAGGAATCAAATCACAGATCGAAACGTTCGCACGGGGAAGGCGGGAAGATCGAGAGAGAGGAGGGACAAAAAGTCAGGTACTACTGTGCATGAGAAAATCGATGGAAGGATGCTTAATCGAGGGGAGATTTTTGCGGTGAGGGACAAGAGAGGCTGAATCATTGGATTCCCCGCAGAAAATGCCTAGCAGCAGCTGGTGTTAGTCTAGTGGCAGCAAACCCGAGTGACGTGGTGGTCGCTGCATGGAAGCCCAACGAAGAGCTCTGTCTTCACTTACTTGAACATCCTGGTCATTGTCGAGATGGAGATGTGGTTATGGAACAGGGAAGATGAATGATGATAGAACTCTGTTTGACCTCGTCGAGGCAAAAGAAAGTTGTGTTTCGGAGCCGCGGGGGAGGTGTGACCTGGGTGCCTGAGGCAGTGCGTCCAGTGAGTCAGTTCGTGCCTGAGGCGATCTCCCACTCTCTTACTGTGATTAGACTCAGGAGAGAGAAAGAAAAAAAAGAGAAGTTAAAGTAGTTCTACCACGAAAGCACAAGGCCATTGTTCTAGAACCTATCCGCAGAAACATGATGTCAATTACACGGCTTCTGCCACTTGCGTCTAACAAAGATCGTTATCCTACGGAGAGCACCATCAAACCCCTTGCTCCCAAGTGACGTCGGTAGTGTCCGTCAACCCATTGGCAACTTTTTTAACCGGCGAGGTCTCGAGAACCCAGTTGCCATTTTCTTCATGAGCCACGCCTCCTCGACGCGCTGCTTGCATCAGCTTCTCGCTCCCTCGCGTCCGTTCCCCCGTTTCCCGGTCCCATACCCAGCCCTCTTTGAGCCACATCCATGTCAAATATGCCCTCAATTCTTTATCCTGCGGAAGAACTGATTTCCACTCCGGAACGAAACCTGGTTCCATGGCGTCACTGCCTTTCCAATCTTTGGCTACTCCTCGCAGCTCGTCACGACAAAAGATGCGCCAACTATCAAGGGAGTACGCGCCCACTCCAGGTAGATGTGCAATTTCCCAAGCCACACGTGGATCGTCATCTTCAATGCATTCGTTTTCAGCAATGTCTCGGCCATCCATTCTGCAGGGATAGTGAAGCTTCCGGTACCGTTTTTCCTTTGTAGGCGGGCATGCAAGCCATGTCTGGGCGAGTCCGATACATTTCTTGGCCCGCTGGTTTTGGAAACCTAGACAGCGGATCATAGAGACCAGCTCCGTCAAGTCGGCCGCAGCCATAGCTTCAACAGTGGGATAATAGTCAAATACTTTAAAGAGAACCGGAAGAGCGACGCCACCTCGAGTTCGATTAAGAAAAATCGTCGCGACAAGCAGTTTGAACGGATCATGTGCAAGCTGCTCTTGGATCAGTCCAAATGAGGGTAATTTGATTGGTGGGAACGGAAGGCATGACTCCGGTTCAAAGAGAGGACTGAAGAAATACGGTGACACTTTGGGGAGTTTGAGACGAGGCGGTTTGCCAACAGCATTGATTTTTGTTTCAGTAGTAAGTGCCTCAACAACGCAGTGCACAGGCGGCTTCATCGGTGACAGGCCCGTAGCTTGCAACAAGCTGTTGCTATCTCCAGTCGAGTCATCACTGCTGCTAGGCACGTCGCTCAATGTAGAGTCAGATGAGAGAAAGTCAAGCGGTAACTGTAGCTCTTCCAAAATCTTCCGAGTGGCATCCGGGAGTGCTTGTTCGGGCTTGTCGGAAATTCCATCTTTTGTAACAATATACATGGGTTTTTGCTTATTTTTGCCTTCCTTCGGCATGCACTTGAAATATTTTGACTCTACCTCATCGCGGGTAGTCAAATCACACGAATCATTGGTATCTAAAAATCCAAGTTACTTTGCGCCGTAGCAACAGATTTGGATTGTTTGGGCACAACTGTCCTGGTGGGTTGACTGGTCTTCTGAGCTTTCATCCGCGGCTCTTGCAGCTTATCAGTGTTGGAGTTTTTGGGAGTCTTTCGTGACTTTTGTGACTTTTGTGGTTTTTGTGGTTTTCTTTTATTGCGAGGCTTTGCTTTCTTCTTGGATGACTCCTTCGAGACAGCCGGGTCATCTAGACGAGGTGAGTCTAGATTTTGAGATGGTAGCTCTTCATTCGTAAGCCTCTGCGTGGCACCCGCTTCAGATAACCGCGCCTTCTTTTCGCTATCGGAAGGAACGGTCGGGTTCTTGTGCAGTGTCGACAGGGGCCGGCGAGAGCGTTTGCCTCCATCCCCGTCAACTGGGTTGTTGTGTCGCTTTGTAGGCGTAGACAATGCTGATTCATCACTATCGCTCGAGTCCAGATGGACTGTCTCCTTGGTCTTACTGAGGGGATCAGATGCCATTGAAGAATCCGGACCCAAAACAGGTTTCGCTGTTTTCTCCGAGTGGACTTTCGTATCTGTAGATTTCAGTCCCTGGCAATTAGTTGCATTCGCAGAGCTTGTTGTCTTCTTTGAAGGCTGATCTGTCGATTTTCCTGAGTCATTTCGCTTCCTTTTGCGGTCTTTCTTTGTTTCCTTTGCCGATTTCGTGATTTTTGCCGGCTCATCATCGAATTCGTCGCCATATTCTGAGCCACTCTCACATACATGGCCCCATCCACTGGCAGTTAGATACAGTTTTTTGACGTAAGCGATGATGTTCTTCATGATGCCTTCATCGAGCCCGGCACCTGTTGCAGCTTGGCGTATATGATTGACAAATTCGCGTCGCTCCGACCGGTTTACGGGATACGCATCACTTTTGAAGAAGGGGTGTTCAGAGATGGAACAAATCAGCAACCCTTGAACCTCTTCATCGACCTGACCAAAGGCATTTTCTTCCATCTCATCCAAGTCACGATTGTTCTCCAAGGCTTCGATTTCTTCTTGTTCGGAATTGAAGATGACGCGCCCGCTGGGAACAGAGCCTGGGGTATTCGAGACATTCGCTTCTTCTTCGTCCCCAGTCTCTTCTTCGTCCCCAGTCTCTTTATCGTCGCTCTCACTGTCGATCCTCATGATCTGTCTTGTCGAGACCGTGCGTTTCTTTGAAGGATTCTGCGGCGCAAAGTAGGGGGATTCTGCATGGCCTGAGTCGTTCTTGAGATTTTTCTTGTCAACAGTCGCATTGACTGGATCGCAGCTGCCATCCATCATTCTCTTCCAGGGGTAATCATCAAAGCTGCTATCGAAGCTAGCTTCGTCCGACAGAATCTCCTCACAAGTATGCTCGAGGAGGTCGTAGGAATCCAGGTCGATTGCGGGAGGAGGAATCACAATGGAGACACTGGGTGGATGCATCTTGACGTCATTCATTTCATAACCGTCTTGTTTAATCAAAAGAGTTTTCCAAGAGAGAGTTTTAACCAAGCAGCGTATATCGTCTTCTGGGCGATAATATCAACCGTCGGCGTGGGAGGTGCGGTCGCGCATAGTTGAGGGTTGTGATAGTGAGGAACGCAGGATTGTCAAAGACCTAACGGCAGAAAAGGTGTCAGTGAGCAAGGTTGTTGAGATGATGAATATTAAATTCACTCACGAGTGACTGGAGATCAAGGCCTTAACCCAAGACGTTGTGTTTCACCATCAGCTGGTGACTAGAGCTCGCCCATAATTTCAAATGTCAGGACCCTTCGAGTGAATCGTGGTAATCCGACTATTAATTCTCCAGTAAATGATAGCCAAAAGACTCTGTCAGGCCCAGAGAGTGGTCAAGTCCAAAACTTCATGCAGATGTAGTGAATAAGGCAAAAAGGAAAGATCAGTTTGTCTACCGCCCGTGAGTTGCGAAAGCTATCAGGGACGGAAACTCCAAAACGCGGAGAAGCTGCGATCCGCGCACAGACCGCTTTGCCTCGCATCAAGAAATGCTCGATCGGTCGCACAATCCCATCGCAGTAAAGGCAATAGTGAAAGAATACTCTACTGAAATTTAGCAAAACTAAGGATTGTGTTAGAAGAAAAGCGACTCCAGCTAGCTGATGGTCAATATCTTAATGTAGTCTTAGTCTTCTCTATATAAATCTCTCGCGGCACTAGATCACAGCCAAAATATATCTACACCAACTCCTTCTAGATCATTTACGAAATGTCGACCAGGTCAACTATAGCGACAAACATTAGACCGAGAACCCCCCTGAGTTCAGTTGTCTCGGTTCTCCAGCCGCATCAAATGTTCCATTCGGCAATACTCGAATGGCCTGCGCAGTGCTGCCACCCGGCGCGACCCAGGTAACGTTATGGCCTCTGGCTTTCATGAAAGCAACAGTTGCATTGTCATAGGCATACTCAAAGCTGCTCTGGTTCGGAACGAGCTGGTCGTGCAGACGTGGTCTAGCCAAAGCCTCTGCGGCAGACAAACCCTCGTCCACGGCATGAATGATGTTTTGCACAGTCGCCGTGATGATTCGACTACCACCCGCGGACCCAGCGATGAAGAACACTGTTCCATTGGGGCGGGTGACAATCGCGGGAGTAATGGATGATAGAGGGCGTTTGCCAGGTCGAATGTAGTTCGCTTCCGACGGAATGTAGCCAAAAGAATTGGATGAGCCAGGAACCGAGAAGTCTACGAGATGAACATTAGCTGAAGTATTCGCAAAACATGATCGAACGCCAATAGCATACCATCCATTTCATTGTTCATGATGACACCGGTTTCCGGTACCATGACTCTGCTACCAAAAAGTAGATTGATGGTGGTGATCGTGGAGATGGCTAATCCAGAATGATCTGCAGCAGCGATGTGTGAAGTTCCCGGTCTAGGTTTATAGTTAGAATATAACCTCAACCAATCTTGAAAGTGGAACATACGTTTCAAGACTCTCATATCCCTCAGGATCGTAGACCGACACATTCTGTGTGCGCAGATCGGATAACTTGTGGCGTATCTCATCAATCGTTGACTGTTTCAGCATATCTTTCTGGTATTCATCAAGGCCATCGAGGAAAAGGGGATCGCCTAGGTTTGTTCTCTAACAAGAGGTTAGTAACCGAAAGTTGAACCCAATCCCAAATAGCGAATCGACATACCAGGCCGTATCCAAAACGCATTGCCTCGTCCAAGCGATGAGTGCTCAGATTCACATTATTTACAGTGAAGAACTGGTCGTAGGTGCCTAGCACTTTCAATATATTCAAAGCGACGATGCCGCTGGATGGAGCAGTCGTGCTTGCGATCTTGTATCCTCGATAGTCAATATGTTCCACGTCTCGGAGAAGAACAGTGTAATTGCGAAGGTCGTCCAGTGTCATTGTGCCATTCGTGGCTTGCACCGCCTGGATCATTTTCTCTGCAATTGGACCGGAATAGAAGGCATCTGCACCTTCATTGGCAATAGTTTCGAGTGTGTTTGCGTAGCGTTGACGAGTGATGATGTCTCCAAGACCAAGCCTTGTCCCGTTGGGGGCAAAGTCAATGGCCCAGGTCGGATCCTTCGACAAAAAGTCTTCTCCATCACCAACAGCCGAGTCCATGTAGCGAACCAAGTCTTCGGTCACGGGAAAGCCGTTGCGGGCGATTTTTATAGCCGGTCGCATAACGGTTGACCAGGGAAGAACGCCGTATTTGTTATGGAGATACTCCAGGCCTCGCAATTCACCTGGCACGCCGCTTGCACATAAATCAGCTTGATCCAATTTTCACGGAAGGGGCCATCAAAACGAACCTAGCTAGACCACCTTTAGTTGAGGCGTCCGAAGTATTGTTGAACATGTCCTCAAAAGCTGCGGCTGGCGCTGTTTCACGAAAATCGACAAACTCGTACGTACCATTTGGGGATTTCACTAGCAGGAAGCCACCTCCTGCGATCCCACTATGATACATGCCTTGGTTGCTGTCAGTACCGCAATTTTCATTGATTCCTGGACTCGAAGGACCTACCAATAACGCCAACACAAAAGACGGTCGCAACCATCTGTCCGGCAATGATTAGTGTCGTGTAATCGTGGTGAAGAGAACCAAAATTACTAGTGACTTACAGCATCGGCTGCGTTTCCACCCAGTTCTAACATTCTTGTCCCTTGCCGACTGCAGATGGCGCTCTCGCTAGCCACTGCACCCCGCTTGCCCTCCTCAAGGTCATGAAAGCCATGACCAGGCTGCCGGTCGCGACGCGACGCAAGCTCAAGCGGAGAACCAAGAGCCCTGGGTGAGTGTACTACTATCAATAACACAAGTAGTAGAGCGGTGACAACCGCATTCCTGAAGCCATGAAACCACATAGTGTGCTTGTGCGTGATCGAGGAAGATTGAGTTATCGATCCGACCGGGCGATCGGGAGATTTCTAGGAGAAAATAGGATCAGGCACCATGCACTAGGGAAGAGCAATACCGTCCCAAAATGGCGTGACAAGACAAAAGTGGTATGGAATGCTTATCATTTACCTGCTTCTCCACGTCTTGGCAAGCAATAGCCGGGGAAGCTTGCATATGGCGTTCGGACCTGGCCGGTTTCATGACACACGCAAGCTGATCGAGATGAGACGGTCTCGAGGAGCCACATCACCGCTTCAAGCACAGTGATTAAGGGAAAACAGAATGATAAACGTAACGACGAACAATCGACGACCAGGTCAGCCCGGAGAGATAAGGGTCACATGGCCATGATAAGCTCGGGGCGATCGGCCGGCCAGAAGCGGCCAAGCCGGCGATTGGATGACGTCTCCGAGATGCCTCAGGCCCCTTCATCGGGCCGCCATGGGGCTTATCAGAGGATAGATAGACCAAGATAATGGGTTGCTTTTACCCCACGACCTTGCCTGATACACATAGATTAGGTTACTTCGAGTCAAGGCCCACAGCCTGCCGGGACCATGCGAGAGTGTCGATCCACTCGGCCGGAGCTTCTTCCAGAGATTGTAGGATCGCAGCTACAAGGCGTCGCCCCCAGTCTCTGACAAACCACTTGTCGGAGATGAGGTGCATACTGACTCCGTGGTGCAGAAACAAGATGCGAGCCAACCATTCTTCGTTCTTCAGCAGTTCGATGTATGGCTCACCGATATTGATCGGGAACGCCAATATACCCCCATTGGGACCACCGAAAGGCCACTGCTTGACCGCCGCCTGCAGGAATTCCCAGGTATGCAGGTACGCAGCCTTATGGGGCTCTTCTGTGCGGTCAATGTTCCCTCGGAATCGATCTAGAGAGCCCAAAAGCTCGCTGTTATCATATTAGTGTCCTCGCTCTACTATCTCACGCATTGATAAGAATTAAACACATACCCGCGCAGTCGCACAAGTTCCGAGTCCGGCTTCCTAGAAAGAAACCCCATTAATTCTCTGGCCACGAGGGGAAGTCGGGAAAGCATTACTGTTCTTGCTCGTTGGCTGCCCCAGGCTTATCGGGGTCGGTATACTGTAACCATCCTTTCATCTCGCCCAGATTCTCCGCTTGACCAAGCTGCTGGAACAGAAAGGAGCAACCGGCAATCAACTGACGGGTTTCCACAATATGAGCGAGAGGATCAATCGTATGGCTATCTTGAGAGATACAAGGGTATGCCGTTGCGCATAGCATAATGAAGATGGAGCTGATGAAGGCCGGGCCGCAGTTCTCCAACGAGAAACCCGCCAAAACCTGGCCCAAGGCCGAGCACGCTCGATTTTGGTACATGAGGGCCGTTTCCAACCATTGACGTTTCTCGTCCACCTCAAGCGAAGCCAGGTGCAGAGACGAGAATGCTAGAAGACTATCCATGAGGTACGGATGCGACATGGCCATGCGCGGAACGATGGATTGAAAATGGTTAGCATCCAAGTTCCCTTGACACATGGTGATATAAGACTCTGTCAGGTAGTGATGGAACAGTCGCATCTCAACCATTCGCATCGGCAATGGCAGTTCGGTGGGGTTTGACATGGTCTCCACCCCATCTTGGGGAGTAGATGGATATTGACCATCGGCATCAGCACTCGGGGGCGGATATATGCATTCGAGTTTGCGCTTCCTGCACAGACTACATTTCGGAGTTCCCTCATCGCACTGCACGGCGTCAGTAACACAACGAAGAAAGAGTCCAAGAATGACAGGTCTACACGTGGTAATGCAGACAAGCAGTATGATCAACACCACACGTGGGATGCGGAGATCAACGGACCTTGACATGTCTTCGTTTACAATGAAGACAGCCCTTGCGGGACTTTGTATGACTGCGACGCGAAGGCATTTAGATATCAAATATCAAAGAATGACGTAGGGGTGAAGGAGTGAAATTGTAGTTGAGCAAGGGAAAAAGCAAGCTGGGCCAATATGATTGGAAGATGTCAAACAGTAACCACACAGAGAGGCCCAAATGATACTTGATAGCGGGTAGTAAAGTTAGAGTGGATAGGTAGACTAGGACCGTACACCGTAGGACTAGGACAACATACTCCGGAGTAGAGTAGTAACGACGGGTCGTAGCACCGCTGCAAGCCTGCAATGACACGTAGCCGGGAGGAAGTGGCCGTCCCGCCGGGCGTAGGTACCTAACGGGGCCTCATTATAGTTAGTGCACATGTGACCTACGGAGTAGTCAGCGGTCCTTCCTCCCTTGGAACTTATTTCGGATTGTTCCAGCATCCCATTATTCGCACCCTCGACTAACGGAGATGTCCAGTTTTCCTGCACTTAAATGTGCATTCACTTAAATATGCATTCACTTAAATATGCATTCTCTTTCATTCCCTCTCTACCTCTCTCTCTAACTTTCAATTTCTCTAGTTACTCCTCTGCTTCTCTTATACACGTCACGGTTCTAAGTCAAGATGCTTATTTTCGGTCTGATCCTGCTGTTTTTCGTCCTGGTAGACGCCGGTCATCCTCTCTGGGAATCTTCGACTAAGATTAAGCGAGCCATTCCACTTGATCTCAGCTTGGATTTCACCACAACCTGGCCTGGTGGTGTTGTTCCATTCTGCTGGGAAAATGATGCTACGCGACTTGAATTTATTCGTGATTTACACCACGCTATGAACTTGTGGTATACGGCTGGGCTGCCTGAACCGCGGTTTAGATTCTATGAGGTCTCCTACGAGGACTGTATGAGAGACCGCCGCAATTCGCTAGTTATTCACAAGGCCGATGGACCTCTCGAATTTGCAACAACTGTTGGCAAATATACTGGTCCTCCTAGTGATCTTCTTCCAGGGTCTGTTGCTTATTTCAACAGTGAAACGGAAATTCCATCTGGAAGGGTTGCAAGAAATACTATTGCAGAGAAAATCGCTCATGAAATCGGACATATCTTTGGCTTATATCATGAGCATCAAGATCCTTATTTCTGGCGTCCTCCCTCTCCTGTATTTGAGATAGTCTGCCCGAGTATCGAGGGATTTGAGCAGGCAACCGAACATTTAGATATTGTCGAAATTTACGGTCCTGATGGGATATGTGTTAATCAACACACGGCCCTATATCGCGGTTGGAACAATGTTGCTCATTTCCTTCCAATTCTTGAGCTTGCCCATCTGGCTCGTCCTCCTCCTCCTCATGTGCCGGAAAACTCCGATGTGGATTGGGATTCAATTATGCTTTACCCGAGCACTACGGCTCTTAACCAGAATCGTGGTGGTTTTACTTTACGCAAAGCGAAAAATGGTCGAGCTTACAGAATTCCGATCAAGCGTGCTCCTAGTACAATGGATGTTCAAGGGTTAATTTATCTCTATTTCGCTGCAGAGCAGCGACAACTTCCACGCCTCTATCATGACCCGCGCAGCGAATATTATACCGCTTTCCAGAATCTGCAGAATTTCCAGGTATGCGATTGGCCCCCGACTGGGCCTCGTGGTGGTTGACCCAGTGGTTGGTGAGATAACGAGGTTGTAGTTGTGTTGTCTTTGGTTGAGCCGGGCAATTGCTGGTTGGTCGATCCTCCTCCGAGGACTTTTACCTACACACATACACCGTAGATAGATAATACAATTCTTTACTACAATTTGTTGGAACCTGGTACTCCTTGCACAGATGCGGTAGCAATAAGACCTCGCTCAAAAACAACAGTCATACAAATCGACGACGATGTTCACGATGTTGTACCGGCACCAGTACAACTAGTATCTTGAACTACTACTTCGGAAGAACCGCCCATCGACCCCTAGCCATCGGTCTGTCGTACTGCAACCCAGCAGTACTACGTAACTGAGTTCATTGGAACGATTTCTAATCAATCGGTCATACTAAATGTCTAATTGAAATGTGTCGCAAGCACAGCAGAGGCAGTTGATAGCTTCCTAGGAAGCTAGAGCCAGGCCTTAAGACAGAGAGTTGATGCGGCATGCCCAGGTACCAGAAAGATCCAAGATCCCGACGAGGAGTAATTCCAGAGTTCTTAGTGGCTTGGAGATCTCAGCCTTCTTTGCTAGCTAGTGAGTGTACTCACTACTCAGCCAAGCCAAGTAGTCAATGAGGGGCCAAATAATTTCTTTTCTAAACACCAAAGTCAAGTAAGCATGGAAGGCATCACGCGACTCCTTGCCCGAACGAGCACCCTTTAGTCTCATCCGTTTAGGAGAGTAGTTGCTCTCGTATAGAGCACCTATGTAAAAAGTACATTTTTGGTTATGGAGACTTGAATTGAAATGCGAGAACGAAAAGGTCCAATAGCATCCGCGTAATTCTCAGCAAGGCCAGCTCTCTACGGAGTACGTACTAGGCAGAAATAAGCTTGTTCCACCCTAAGCGTACGGAGTATGCAGAATGCAAATATATGCGCTAAGGAAGATATAAATTACATGCGACTCTTGCAGCACGCTAATGAGCCCACGCTTGCCCTATTCTGAGATGAGCTCCGTTCGTAGGACGGTAGGTGACTCTTTGGCCTCTTCCGTGGTCTCATCGGCTCGTCTATCGACCGGAGAAGATCGGCATGTAACCTAGACATGGGCCTACGAGACTCACGAGTCCTTTGGGATATTAATAGATTGGTACGGAGTACACAACTCTTAGTATCACTTTCGGAGCATAAGAAAACTGATATTGATTTCAATCATGTCAACTATCAGGCTTGAAGCCTGACTGAATCCAGATAGCATCATAGTTGTAGCAGAAAATGCACGTAGCGCTTGAAAGGGCATTAGACCCGGTATACATACTCCGTAGTGCTCCGTTACCACGGAGTTCGAAACTGAGAAAGGCTCTCCAATCTCCATAGACCAAAGGAGTGGGCTACGCTGCTCTTGAAACCTTAGAGCCCCGGCGTGCATGCGATCTAATCTAAGCTCCCCCACTCATATGCCGCATGCAGCAATTTCAATTATTTCAAGGCATAGATCAGCATGATTTCAAGCTTTCAAACGAGTCCTGTTAATTATAATCCAGTTGATCGACCTGGTTAGATGGGATCGGCGGTTGATGTGACCGGTTTCGTCCAGTGGCTATCAAACCTGCCTCATAATGCAAGTGATGAATTGTATCTCATTCACAACACCCAAGGCCAAGACAGAAAACAAAAATAAAAAAATAAATGAAAGGAAGGAAGTAAATTTGCCGTAAAGTACTCCATGTCAGCTTCTTTCCTTTTCCTTTTACTTTCCCCCTTCTGATTGCCTGCGAAAAGAAAATTAATTAATCTTAGGTAATCTATGTAATCAATCCCTGTCTTCAAGCCGGGAAAATATCGTGTGGAGATATTTCCTATAAAAGAAAGACAGAACAAGAAAAGTTTTTTGCTAGGCGCATCGGGTGGTTCCACGACTCAGACTTAATGTGGCCCCCGAAAAGGCTGCTCTGTTGTGGCGATATGCTTCTTTTTTGACTCCTTTGATAGTTCCCAATAGTCCACAAAAAAGTCACCTTTAGTCTTGTGCCATATGGCGACACATCTGTCTCGGTGTCAGAATTCCTTGGTTGTGTGCGGGACCGGACTCGATTTTGATGCGAGGCAAGAACAGGCGATGTCTGCCTACACCGTACTTTGGACCATTATTCTATGCATCTTCATACCCCCCTTCGCACTTACACCGTAGTGGAATGATCACCATGCCATCTTCTAAAAAGAATCAAGCAATAGTTTTCACAGGGCTAGAAATCTGTAGTGCCGCCAAAGCCTTACGACGACAGCCATCGGTGGCTTGGCAGGGAGATGAGGCCGAGCAACAAGGACGCTCGAGATCACATCAATCCTTGTAAGCCTGGTGGTGGTAGCGCTAACAAACAAGGAAAAACTCTAACCATCCATTTCAGCCCCGGTAGACAGCCTATGAAAAGGAAAATCTGCGTGTTTCGAGTCAGAGACAGAATTCTGGAAACGGAAATTCCGATGATCGGTCGAAACAAAGAGCGGTCATCAGATTAGATTAGATTGATTTGATGGAGCTGATCAGGCTTGGGTCTTATCAACCATTGGAACGAGATGTTGGGAGGAATCACGTCTTCCAAACTCACACGTCAGAGAATGGAAGAGATTTTCTTGTTGCCTCAACGGTGCAGCCGATGGTGGGACGGCCGCTGTTTGGGGTGGAGATGGGTACGGACTACGGAGTGGAATAGGAATCGTACGGAGTATTCCAATTTCGGTGGCATGACAGACGCACGTCGGCGATTGTCGGCTAGAAGTTAAGCGTTAGTGCTTCCCAACTACCAGCTTGGCACAGAAAGACAAGCAAAAGGAATCGATGCAGAGAACGACTAAAGAGAGGAGGGGGAGACATGGAAGAAGAGAGAGACAAGGCTGATCACCACTGACTAGTGAGGGAAAAAAAGGAAAAAAGGAAAAACGCTACCCAACAAAGATGTCCCACTGTCCGGTGCGTAAAAACCGTTCCATCCAATAGGTAATGATTCCTCCGGACCGATTGAGATTCTCGATTCTCGAGGAACCCTGGGAGGAATAAGAGAAGGGCAACAGCCAACAACGGTATTGATCGGGACAAGAAAACCTAGCTGCGGTGACATAATTCCATTATTCAGTGACCAGTCCGAGAGACAGCACAGTTGTCAATAACCGGGGGCGAAGTCCGAGTATCGGCCCACAGCAGGCCAAGACAATCTCGAGTGGTACTTGCCTGTTTCTTTGCTCGGGCCATTTCTTGTGTTGGATCTAAGTTCAGAATATTCCTTAAACTCTGCCATAAGGATGATCTGACGGCATTTCTGAGTTCATGTTCCTCTTCAGGATCAATCGCATTGTCAATCCCGTTCTGAGCAGTAAGCGCACCTTGGCATCGCGTGGGATCTAAGTGCATGGTGCGTAGACATCAGCCAAACCTCTCGTGGAGGGGGCTAAAGTGGTGTGGGTGGGTAATATATCCACCGGAAATATTTGTGTGACAACAGAGCCTATCAATCTAGCCGATATCACTCCAAGACAAACCAAAGAGTTTTTTTACACTCTGTACAAGGTAACTCGATCATGTTAGTTAACTTAGTTTACCTCTAGAGAGGAGCGAAAAAAAAAAGTTAGTCTTTTTTCTCCTTCCCATTCCCTGGTAGTAGACACATTAGAAAAAAATCAAAATGAGTTTATGATTCTAGATTCACATCACCATTCGAAGTATTCACCGCGGGGTCATCAAGATGTCGCCCGGGACCCGTGGATGACCGAACGGACTTGACCGCAAAACCACTCATGGAGCGAAACAGGACCGGAAATGAAAGATGGTGCCAGGCCTCGGATTGGCGACGCAGGCCTGGCTGACTTCGACGGAAAAGGCACTTGCAGATGGAGCGGTGGGTCCCTGCCAGGGTCTGTAACCAATCAGACCGCCTCGTTTGTGGCCCGGCCATCCCGCTGCGAGTGTTGGGGGGGCCGTGATTGGCCCAGAATTGAAGTTATCTGATCCGTTGCCCCAAAGTGTTATCTGATCCGACCACCAAACCAAAAACGGATCCACCCGCGAAGGAGCGCGTCCTGCGCCAGGGAAAATGGGCGAATTTTTTTTTCTTTCTTTTTTTTTCCTGCCAGGAAAAGGTGGACTTTAATGTTCTGGCGGCAGGCGGCAAGCGGCACCGTTCGGCCGGGTTGTGAAGCAGCGTACTTATATAGTAAATTGACCCTCCCGAGCTTCCGTCCCTTGCTCCCCTCCTTCCGTTCTCTGTTCATCAAGAATTCAATTTCACCCTTTCCTCTCTGCTCGGGTAATTCCACCCCCGTCTCCTTATTTAGGAAAGAGAGGCCTCGAAAACATCATCATGGGTGTTCTCGAAATGGTTCGAGGTCGTGACAACACCGCGATGGTGTCCGACCTCGCTGGCACCGAGGATCACAGACCCAAGAACAGCTCGCCTGAGAACCCGGAGACCTCGGGTAGCGACTCCGACCGGAAGAGTCTAGAGGCACGGAACGAAAAAGAGATCGAATTACACCCGGGCGAGGTCACGGAGGGTGCTCAGCTGGGTATCCAAAGGGCTGAAGCCGCTGCGTTGGTGTGGTCGAAGAAAGCACTCATCTTCACTTACGCCTGGTAAGCCTTTCCAGCCCTTGTCTTCCCGTCGTCTATGAATGCTGATTGTAGATCAATTTAAATATAGGATCTGGGTTTGCTTTTTCTTGCTGGCCTTGCAGTCCTCGATTAGTAGCATTGCCCAGCAAACCGCCTTTGCTAAGTTTTCAAGCGCGCCTGCCGTCAGTACGGCCAACATCTTGGCCAGCATCGTCGGAGGTGTACTCAAACTCCCCATCGCCAAAACTCTGAACCTGTGGGGTCGTGCCGAGGGCCTCTGCGCCTCCGTCGCGGTCTACATCCTCGGAATCGTCATCCTAGCGGCGTGCGATGGCCCATCTTCCTACTCGGCAGGCTATGTCATCTACTGGGTCGGCTACGACGGTATCTACCTCATTCTGCAGGTCTTCATCGCC